CCTTTGTGGGTCCTGGAATACCACACGTCCTGGCTTCTGGGAGATTTCATGTGTAAACTCTCCAACATGCTCTTCTCTGTCAGCCTGTTCAGCAGCATCTTCTTCCTGACCATCATGACTGTCCACCGCTACCTATCTGTGGTCAACCCTCTCTCATCCCTGAGCTTCAACACCCTCAAGTGGCGTCTGCTGGTGACCACAACTGTGTGGGTAGCCAGCATCCTGTCCTCCATCCCCGATGCTATGTTCCACAAGGTAAATAATGGTCCTTGTGACTATTCAGAGATCAGGTGGCATGCTGTCTCAGTCTACCAGCACAATATCTTCTTCCTGCTCTCTCTGGTGACTATTGTGTTCTGCTATGTGAGGATTCTTAGCACCTTGCTCCGCATGCGATCCAAACGACACCACCGAACAGTCATGTTGATCCTCACCATCGTGGTAGCTTACTTCCTCAGCTGGGCTCCCTACAACTTGGTCATGTTTCTGGAGACATTATTGAAACTTGGAATCATTAGACACTGTCAGTTCAAACAACAGGTGGACTATGCCTTGCTCATCTGCCGTCACCTTGCCTTTTCCCACTGCTGCCTCAACCCAGTGCTCTATGTCTTCGTGGGCATCAAGTTCCGCAGACATCTCAAAAGACTGTTTCGGTTTTACTGGCTCCGCCAACATCATGCACCCAGTCCTCCCCCCAAACCTCACTCTGTGGGTGGATTCAACTATGAGGGTGCGTCCTTTTACTGAAAGGAGTTTGGAGGTTCAGGCACAGAGGACCTTGAGAAGTAGCAAAGAGAAATGACAGAAGGTGCAACATTGAGGATTCTATGGCTGCAAAGGTGGGGTGGATAACCTCCCCCACACTGTTGCCCTTCACAGGAAAAGTGGTTTCCCACCAGGAAATTTTATACTACCACCTAGAAAAATGCTTCTTGAATTCTGCTCCATTATTAATTCCCCATCCCCCATTTATTCATTCACATAGACATGGATTTCCCATAACTACTTGGGTCCTAAAGATGGGAAGATTCCCATAAAAGAGCATCTTTCAAAACTTTTTAAGATCCTGAAACTGTGTAGATACTGAGAACTGTCACAATGTTTCTTCCTTCCCTGCCTGTAGTGTCTTCTGAGCTGATCTGGGTAGTGGTTAGTTCTGCTCTCCAACAGATGCAGGGGTGAACCTGTCCACAAAACCAGAGTAACCACATCCTAAACAAGCATACTCAGGATGAAATTTGAATTCCGATACCCTCCTCCTGCACTGGAGACAAGTTCTGTATAACAGTTCCAGTTTATATACAAAAACTGGAACTTTCATGTTGATTTCATAAGACTCTTATTTAAAAAGCCCAGAGTGCTACATTCTTCAGAATGCATTCATTTGGAGAATATAAAGAGGAATAAAGCACAGTGGGTATCCCCAAATGCCAAGAGACCAGCCTACAGGTCCTCCAAAAGTGAACAACCATCTTGGCCAAGATATCCAGGGATGAAGATACTTACAACTTCTATCTTCTCTTGATAGTCCTCACTTTTTATGGGAATTGTGCAAGGGAGGAACATCCTTTAAGAGTACAGGGTACAAGTCTGTCGAAATGAGCAACCAGAGTGCTGCACACCAGTGACCACATTCTATGTGCTCAGCCCACAGATCTCCCTGGTCTACTGCTGCTGCTTCCCCTGCCTTCCAAGCACTGAAACTCCTGTTCAATCTCAGCTGAACTCTTACAGGCCGAACCCTCCCTTCCAGTAGAAAAATGTTCTCTGGACACAGGCCTGAAGATCTCCTGCCACATCTCCAACAGAAACCCCATAGTGATTCTCAGAGAAAATCCCCATGAAAACATCACCCCTTTCACTGTCTCTAGGACAGAAAAGGACAGAATCATTGATGTCTGAAAAGGAACCGACCTCCCAGCCCAAGGCAGCTTGAGAACTCAAAGACTTCAGCCAGACTGGAAGTTCCTTGAGGGTCCCCACCCAAAGGGCTACATACCCATGAACTCTTTTCTAGCACCCACCGAACCTAGCCCTGACATCACTGAGCTTGTTGAACTCATAATGGTTTTCAAGTACTCAACCTACCTGAGATGGGACAAAGAGACTCATCAGAAGCAATCTCCAAAGTAAACTGAGTAGTGTGCACCCCGAAGTCACCCCTGAAACTCTTTTATTTACTCACCATAACCTTGGGTCTCTTAGCCTCAGCGTCCTCATCCATAAACTTTAAATGCCAACAACATAAAGGCAGACTCTTCTTACTTCATAAAGTGTACATGAGATCATGTGTATAAAATTACTTGCTTTGTTATCTAAAAAAAATAAAAATTCTGCACAAATAAAAGATTAGCATGTAATCTAGCACAGACTAGTTTTATTTTCCCATTCTCTCTGAACCCACCCAAATTATTATGTGAAGCTCCTGAGAGAACTTGGCTTATGGGGAATTTTGATATGGATTTAGAACTAAGGCAGGAGGAAAGAAAAGAGATTGGAGGGAAACGTGTGAAACATCTTTATAAAAGTTAAAATGGTGGAAACTTTCAACCTCAGCAAAAATTGTCCAGGTCAAGTCTGCATCGAGGGCTCAGATTTCCATCCTTCTTTCTTCCCTACCCTGGAACCCAAGTTTTCACATTGCACAAATAAAGCAAATGAAAGAAATAGTGGGGCAGAGGTAAAGAAATGAGTAGATTGAGAAAGTCTCTCTGAGAAGATGACATTTTTGCAAACTTGAAGGCAGTGAGTATGGCAGTTTTAAAACATACCCACAAAGTCTGTGACACTCTTCTCATTGAGAGTGGGGAGAGGCGCCTACATATCCTCTCCCTAAATTGCCTGGTCTTGGTGAATGTTTTATAATTTACAGAGAACAGCTAAAGTGACCCTAGGAAACTTTGGAGGGGAGGCAGAATAAGCTACCCAGACTCCACCTCGTCTCCTGGAGTTGTACTTTGTGATTAGACCAATGCCAGGGAAGAAGCCTGCTCTTTGAGAACTCTCTGCTGGGGTAACCAGAACCCACAGCCCAATGGCACTCCCAGCTGACAGCATCAGCAACCACAGACCATATGCTGCCCCATCTAAGTTATCATATAATCTGTCTTGCCAATTATTGGGCAAGGTGGTTGCTGTGAGTTTTGTTATTTACACTTTTTTTTGTTATACCCCAGCAGTGCCAGCTTTGTGTTTGGGGGTAACTCCCTGCAGTACTTGGGTACTCAGGGAACCAGGTGGTGCCAGGGATTGAACAAAGCATGCACTCACTCGGAACATTGAATTTGCTCTCTGGCTCCTGTGAGTTTTAAACATAATACTGTGTTCAGCATAAAATAGATCCTCAAAAAATATTAGGTTGTGCCTCTTTTCTCTTCAAAGTCCTTTTGGGTCTAAGTTCTGAAGAAGGCAGCTGGACCAGATGACTGAAATGGAATCCTTTTTATTCTTCATAGTTCATAAAACTCTTCAGACAGTGGTTGGAACAATGGTTTCCCTTTGATATCTTCTTCCTCCTTTTCCTTTCAGAATTTTTTAATAGGGAAAGAGAATAAAAGATCACTTCTCCCCAACACCCTCCCTATTTATCTAACTTACTGTTGTATTTATACTTAATTTAAAGATGGCCAATAATAAATCATCTAAAATTAACCAAAAAAGGGTCAAGGAGATCGCTAGATGGCCTGAGGACGTAGGGTTTGATTCTCAGCAATGCATGGTACCAGTATACTACCCAGAGCAATACCTGAGCACCAAAGTGGAATGAACCAGGAATGGTGTGACCACCAAACAAAAACAACAGCACACACAATTAACTAAGAAATTTTCTTGCCTGTCGCATTCTACTGCAAGTTCCATCTTTTTTCCATTTCTCATGGAGCCGTGGTTCTTTGGCTAAGTCCTGTGACTTAGGTCTTTCAGGTTTTAAGTGGTGGAAACATGGGCAGAAGTTAAGGATGGCGCAGCCAGAACTGAAGGATGGAATCCAATCACAGACTGAAGAATCAGATGTGCAACTGTTCTTACAAAAGATATTACTGATAAATGCATCCTGTTCAATTGAGTCCAGCCTACAGAGTCAGCCATGAAGTGGCTTGAAATTTATAAAATATAAATATAAATTTACCTAAAAGTGGGACAAAAGCTAAAGGGTGGTATTTAAACATTTTTATTTATTTTTAAATTTGGCTTTTTGGGTCACACCCGGTGACACTCAGTGGTTATCCCTGGCTCTGCACTCCTGACGATGTTTGAGGGACTATAAGGGATGCTGAGGATCGAACCCCGGTCAGGAAGGCAAACCCCTGCCTGCTGTACTATGGCTCCGCCTGAGGATGGTATTTTATTAACACTGGTTTTAAGTGAACCCCCATGTTAAGAAATGAGTATGATCAAAAGATGGGACACTATGCCCAGAAATATGACATACTCTTAATGTAGATCCAGTACATGGAAAAGATGATCGTTTCTGAACATAATAAAGATAAAAAAAAAATATGAGAGCTATACTACTCAGTGCTCTTCGTACCCAGTTTTAGGGACGCAGTTATATTTATTCATTGACTGCACAGGCGCAAATCAACTTAGAACAGTCAGAGTTCAACTTGCCAAAGTCACACTTGGAAGGCACTGCGTTCAAAATCCCAGTGAGGTGATTTGTGGACACATACACGCCGTCCAGGATGGAAAGGGTTAATGCAGGGCGGGCCAGCGGGCGGGGCAGGAGGAGGAGGAGGAGGAGGGTGGGGTGTGAGAAGGAGGAGGGGTGTCAGTTTCCGTAACCGACCCCCGGGGGGCAGCCCGGGTTCCAGCGTCAGCCTCACTCGCTGTTGCTACCCCGACCCCGCTAGGCGGGAGTCAGGGCTAGTGGGAGTTATCAACCTGGGCTCCGCGAAGCGTGTCGGGAGTTGTAGTCGGCGCCCGTCCGCCAGTGAGGTCCGATGGGAACTGTCGATCACGACCGCGCGGAGCATGCCGGGAGTTGTAGTCCGCCCCCCCCCCCCCTCCTGTGCCGGCGTCTGCGTATCATGGCCGCTCGCTCCTCGCTCCCTGACTCTTCCGCTTGGCCCCAGAAAGTTTCGCTTCTGCCCCTCCTTGGACCCTTGAGCGCGTAAGTGCCGCGGGAAGCCAGCAGGACCTCGGGGGCTGTGTCGGCCGCTCTCGGCCCGGGAGCGGAGAACTCCGGGGCGACTGTCACCTGTTGCGGGGCCCGTCCCCGCCCCCCGGGTCCCTCGCAGACCCCGCCCTGGCCCTGGCTCCTGCCCGGAGGGTCCGGGGAGCATCTCTGGCCGCCGAGGCCGACGCGGGCGCCCGGGCTGCCTCCGGGGGTCAGTTACGGAAACTGCCACCCCCTCCCCACACTCATTCCAAGACCCCCGCCGGCAAGCCTGCTCGGAGGCCGGTGTGTTTGCCCAAGAGGTTGGGCTTCTTCGGGCGGTGGACAGGTCCCGAGTGTCCACTGATCCTGTCCGAGAGGCTGCTCAGCCCCAGAAGCGTCGTTTCGGGCGCCAGCTGGGCCGGGACAGCCCCGATCTGCCCTTGGCAGGACCCTCGCGGGTGCCGGGGGTCTCCTCGCGTCTCTTCCCAGGGGACGGTTGGCGCCCCGCGGGGCCACTGTCCGATCCAAGTTCAGCCCCTTGGCGATGGCCCCGGGGATGCCCGCAAGCACCTGTCCGCTTGTGGATTGATTGTCCGGTGCGGCCGCTCTGGACTTGGGCTAGAGTCCACGCTCGGAGCCCGGGGAGCGGAGTTGGAGGGGCAGGGCTGGCTTTTATTTTTTCCTGAAGAAGAACACGTATGGTGCAGCCCTCCTGCTCCTTCTTACTGCACGGGTCCTCTGATGCCCTTGTGGCTCCTCATACCTCCAGCTGGCAGCCCCCACCTCCAGAAAGAGAAAAAAAGGAGGGGAGGGGTGAGTCGGGGTAGGGGGGTTGCTAAGGGGGGAGTAGCAGTGAAACTGCGGGTGTTGGCCACAGCCCCGCTGCCCCTCTGCTCCTCTAACCGCAGCAGTTTCCTTTCCCTGCAGAGAAATGGGTCAGCGGACTCTGAGGTCGCAGGAGCAGCCTTTGTGGGCCCGCTGCCCTCCTGTCTCCAGGGCTCTGTGGTCTTCTCCGGAGCAAACCTTAACTCCCCTGCCTCCTGCAGGGTTGTCGCTTACTGAGGCTGGAAAGAGAGTCAGCGTCAGCAAGTTCTGGGTGTTCTGCTGGCTGAGGTGTTATGCCTCCAGGGTCCCCTGTTTTCTGTATTTTTGTTTTGTTTGTAGCTGGGTTTGTTTATTTGTTTGTTTGTTTGTTTGTTTATTTATTTTGTCCACACCAGATGGTGCTCAGGGTTTACTCCTGGCTCTGTGCTCAGGGATCACTCAGTGGGACTCCAGGGACCATATGTGATGCCGGGATTGAACCCAGGGCAGCTGCATGCAAGACAAGCTCCCTACCCCCTGTCTTCTCTCTCTGGCCTCTGTCAGTGGCCCTCTTTCCTGTGACAGCCAGTGTACATGTGTTACCAGACACCCTCCTAAGAGTTGTAGGTCAGCATTCTGATCACCCTGGAAAGCCCAGTTCATTCTCTATGATCAGACCTGGCCTCCTTTGATGAAAAGGACCTGAAAAGACTCTTGCATTCAGAATAGGCTTTTTGCTTCAATTAGAAGTGTTCAGGGTTTATTTTTTTGAGTTGTTTTCATGGAGAAAATTAAGCAACTAGAATAATGAAAACATTTGGATATTGTACAGGATATAAGGCTACAACATATTGTGTGTATACACTTACACATGTATATATACAAGGTATAATATGTATCATACATTGTTTGGGGTAAAAGAAACATCCCTCTATCCACCTGTTAGATTTTGCTCTTGCTCATTGGCTTTGATCATTTTTGTCTTTGCCTTGTAATTGATGCTCTGGCTTCTCCTTAGGCAAGAGCACAGGCTCAGGTGTCACACTTTGACCCCTTGTCTTCTTTAGGGCAGAATGACATCCACAGATATTTGTGTTCAGAGCAGCCCTCCTTAAAGAAGCATGACTAGAGTAGCCTCTGCCAGGAGAACCCGGGGCGGGGGTGGGGGGGCACTATTGGAATGGCAGCCCCCTCTGCTCTACAGGAGGAGGGGCTTGACCACCAGGCAGTTTGGGTTTTCTAATGATTCCTAAGGTAACTTGTGACTCAAGACTAGGCCGTCCTTTCAGTGTGAGGCAGAGGAAGTATGCTCTCTCCCTGTGGTCTCATGGGGGAAAACCAGTGGTAGGAAGTTTGGAGGCACATCTGGAGGCATGTTTGCTGGGGAAGCCCCAAGCAGCCCACTAGATGAGTGCTGTGACTGGTGCCTTGTCACCCTTGGGCGCCACCATAATAACTTCAGCAGAGATGATTCAAGGTTGACCTTGCCAAAGCTACTATTCCCATGGCTGCAATGTCATTGTCTTGCTCAAAAGAATAAAGCATTTTCTTTTTGTAAGCTTTAAAAATAAATAAGGCTTTTTTTCTCTTTGTGAATGCCAGTATAAGAAAGAAGCAGCTTTTGCTTTTTGGTAGTTCAAACAAAATAATCTTTGTTTGAACTACCAAATAAATTGGTATAGTGCCTATTATAATGCTGCCACAAGTCAGTGTTTATCCTTTTTTTTTATTTAAGTGAGTCTTTTAAAATATCCTTACTTGTGTCCATGATAAGAGCCTCGGTTTCAGAGCCTGTCCATGAATGTATACAGGACGCCATCCATGGCTTTCAGAAGAGGACAGCAGAAGGTAATCTCTTTGACATGATGGTTTTAGTGGCTCCCAGTGATCCTTCCTGTTTGCACAGTTCTTTGTGGTATTTGAGAGACACCAAGCTCTGCTTTTAGATGGGCCAGATCCTCTTTTCAGGGATGAGAACCTGTGCATCAGTGCAGTTCTAAGGACCGATGTAAGGGGAACTGTGGTTTGATTGTGGCTCTGTCACCTGTATCCGGTTCTGGAACCCAAGGACAGGCCTTATCAACCACCTCCCAGGAACCTGGGGTAAAAAACTGACTTAGAGGAGGCCTTGAAATCCAAGATGAAAATGTGAGGGGGACAAAAAGCATTCTTACCAGACTGCTAGTGTGAAAGTGACTAGTGTAGGGAAGAGTGTTGGGACAAGCTAGACACTAAACTAGAGGTGGTGCTTTAACATGGAGCTCAAATTAATTTCCTGAACCTTAACCTGTGGTTCTGGGTGCCTTTTCCACAGCATCTGCAGCCTTGGTCATGAGCATGGACACTTAGAAACCACAGCCAAAGTTAGCCATTGGGAATGTCTGTCCTTCCCTTCTCTTCTATGATGAAGGAGGGTAAAGAGGGAACCGCTCCATGTTGTATTTGAACACACACACACACACACACATACACACACACACACACACGCGCCAAATGTTGTCCCTTGGATAGATAAGTTTTCTAAAATTGCTGGAAAAAAATCTGGGGGGTTTAATATACCATAGATTTCACACAGTTATGACACAGTTTTGATTACATTATTCCTGAATGATAAATAATGGAAATTTCACATGACTGATCTGTTGGCCATAATCTAAGTAGGGTCCAAAGAGGGCAGTGCTCAGCTACAATTGACAGGAGAGAAGACAGATGTCCTGCCTAGTTACCATAATAACTTCAGAGTCATCTTGGCTTCCTTGTTGCTTCAGTCTGCCTGCATCATCCCCTTCCCCACCTGCACTCAGGTTGCTGTTCCAATCACGAATCACGATCACGATCATCCTGTTGTTCATCGATTGCCTCAAGCAGGCACCAGTAACGTCTCCTTCGTCCTAGCCCTGAGATTTTAAACTGCCATATTCAAGGCCCTTTCAAGGTTAGGAGAACGAGACCCATCACTGTTACTGGTATTTGGCATATTGGGTACACCATGGGGAGTTTGCCAGACTCTGACGTGTGGGCAGGTTACATTTGGTAGCCTGCCAGGTTGTCCAAAGTAAGAAAGAGATAAGATGTCGTGCGCTTCTGGGAGCTGGGTTTTATAGTCTCTGGGTCTTGGCCGTTGATGGGATTACACGGTGCCAGGGGGGGGGGGCAGGGGGGCACGGGGGTGTCAGTTGGTGGGTGTGACCCCTGCCTACTGAAAGATGGAGGATCTGAGTGGAGGATGTTCTGCCCCGATCCAAGCAGGCTTGGAGATCTCAGCCCCGGGACCCGCATGCCTTTGTTCCTCTGCCAGTACCTTCATGCGTGTGGAGAGTGGTCTCAGTATGGTTGTGGCTGGTTCTGGAGGTCTTCGGCTGCTGGAGCTCTGCTCGGGTTGGGGAGGGAAACTCAACCCGCCCCCCTCCAAGGGGCCCTGGTGAGGACAGCCAGGCGCGGGGGCAGGAGACTCTGCGCTGTTTTCTGTTCCAATCACCCAAGTAGAAAACAGAACTCAGAGCTACTTGGGCTGGAGCAATAGCACAGAGGGTAGGGCATTTGCCTTGCACTTGGCCGACTCAGGCTTGATTCCTCCGTCCCTCTCAGAGAGCCCAGCAAGCTACTGAGAGTATCTTGCCTGCGTGGCAGAGCCTGGCAAGCTCCCCATGGTGTATTCGATATGCCAAAAACAGTAACAAGTCTTACAATGGAGACGTTACTAGTGACTGCTCAAGCAAATCGATGAACAACAGAAGGACAGTGACAGTGACAGTGACAGATTTCCTGCTTGATGGTTCCAGATCCAACTTGCAGGGATGGAAATAGGAAAGGACCCTTTAGGAGGCTTGGCTCGGTAAGGATGGTGGTGCTGGTGTGGTTAGCATTGGATGGGTGAAGGAGGTTCTGGGTAAGCATCCTTTCAGCAAATCTATACTGCATTCTTTCTTGTAAACACATTACATCTGTTCCGTCTGCTCCTTAACTGTCTTTATTCCAGTTACTCTTGAAATAACTCCATGTATGTTCACAGTGCTGCTCATATAATGTCTGCAATCGCATCTTGACTTTTTAAATGCATTGTATTCATCAAAGTAAAAGTAACTCATGAGCACAAAAGGGCAGCTGGAAGGGTCAGACCATGCACTTTGTTATCTGGCACTGTGTGGTCTCCTGAGCATCACCAGCGGTGGCCCCCAAACCAAGAAGTGTTTAAAAAAAATAAAAGT